TTCCCTCTCCCTCAAGCATATTGAATGACTCATAATCATGCATCAATAAATCAATACGAGATTCTTTAATGTTAGAGGTACCTTCGTAAGTGCTTTCCAAGGCTTGCCAGATTTCTTGAGCCGTTTTCACAGTTTTCAACTTGGTCAGCTTCGTCTGGATTCATCGCTGGCTGAAGAACGTGCATCGCTCTTTGATTTAAGTGTGCGCTCTTCTTCTGGGCTGCGGACCACATCATCTGCTCATCCATGTCCATCTGAATAGGACCGTTCTGGACGATCAGCCATAGTTCTTCATCCACTCCCCACATAAACTGCTTCATCCTCTTTTTCCAGGCTGTATAGTTCGACCCTGTGAAAATGGGAGGATGATTGAGCGTAGCTTGCCCGAACGAATTTGTCGCCATTGGACCGATTACCTTGGCAGCAGTGAGCTTCGTCAAGGCAGAGCTCTGATACCAATTGAAATCGAATTAGGGTTAGAGATGAATAATAGGATTTGGGAATTTGATTTGAGCAGGAGAGAGTTGAGGAGGATGTCTCGACAGGTGATGACTGAAGAGTCAATCTTTTAGTCTCGAGGCCTCAACACTCCGTTGGGCTCACAACGGCCAAATGGGTCGAAAGACCAACAACTAAAAGCAATGGGCTGAAGATCAATTAGGCCCTGATCATCATAACCATAAACGACTTTATTCTTCACTGAAGAACAGAAATTGCAGAATGGAGAGAGCAGCAAAGAATCAAGACAGAGGAAAGGGCAGAGAGGAACACACGATCTTTCTAACGAGGTTCACCCTTGTGCAATGGTTAATTCCTCGTCCCAGGATCACAGATCCCAGGAGACTCTATTTATGATTTTTAATCAAAGGAACACAATTACAAAGACTCTAATGAACAAATAGATAAATCGAAAAACTCCCTGAATCACCACCCGACTCAGTTCAGCCACCACAGTATAGAACCTCTTCCCCGACACTGTTCACCCTTCTGTAACTCAAAGCACAGCCCTATACCTCTTGCTTTGTTTTCCACAAAAGTACCTTCAAACCTGGAAATCTCAAGCTATATATAAATGAAGAACTAGCCGTTGGAGTGGATCAAGAAGATTAGCTTAAATTATGCCCTTTCCCTCTTTGAGCAATCCTGCAACGGTCTTGGAAGATTGACAAATCAGACTTACCATTGGCGTGACAAAGGTCTAAGCATATGAGAACGTATGCACATGAGGACACGAAGATATCAACAGAGTTAAGGACAACAAAGCATCACAAGCACAAAGTAACACAAAAGCTGCATGCAACCGCCCTTGGGCAACTAATCCGATCGTCATCGCCGACGAATCAAATTCTTTCTGGCCTGTGAAAAGATGATTGGCCATTTTACTTGAATCAAAATGTAACGGACATGTGTCGTAATTGTTCAGATAAATAGACATTTTCTTTCTATTGGAGAGTTGATCTGATACGAACTACATGTGACTAGTGGAAAAGGGATATGAGTACATATTTTTATCGATTTTGCAGCTTATGAAAAAGTTGTACTATAGCAGTAAAAACCAGTCTTGTCCATTCATGCGATTAGAATATGGGGTAATTAGCATAAATGGTAACATACATTTGCACTTAGTACAAAATGGTCACAAACCTTTAATTTGTAACAATACGGTAACAAAACTTTGAAATTGTATAAAATGGTCACCGCTATTTAATTTATGACCGTTTTGTTTTAAGTGAAAAGGTTTGTTACCGAATCATTACAAATTAAATGTTGGTCATGTTTTGAGGTCGGGTAGTTTGTTCGTTAAGTATATGACACTAACCACTTGAACGACATATAAGATGTCAGGTCATGTGTTCATCGACATATTTGCTTTGCCGAATAAGAATGCCCTCAGTTGACCTTTCAATTTCGATACCAAGAAAGTAATAAAGTAAACATAGTTTTTCAACTAAAAAGCAGTCGGGAACCCGTTTGTGAGTCATTGAATTCTCTCATTGTCATCCTAAACAACATAATATCATTCACATACATTAACAAAACCACCATTCAATTAGAGTGAATTGTAACGGTGATTGAGCGTTCAAACTTTTGAACTTAATTTGTACAAAACGGTCACAAAAAGTCTAATTTGCAACGACACGGTAACAAAAGTTTGAACTGGTATGAAATGGTCACACTGTTTTATTTGTGACCGTTTTGTTCTAAGTAAAAAAAATTTGTTATCAAATGATTACAAATTAAAGGTTTGTGACTGTTTTGTACTAAGTGCAAAGGTTTGTGACCATTTATGCTAATTACCCTTAAAATATGACTTTCACGAAATATTGAGGGGTGTAAAAGTATTTTTATGAAAATTTTGATTGCTAATTTAGTGTTTGAGACTTTTAGTGCGGCTATTAATATTATCGTGAAAATAATTTCTCTAAGCTTATGAGCTATGAGTACTATAACTCCTGGCATCACGAGCTTGCTTAATATAAGATTGCGATTTTGAAAACTAGTTTAATTTATTTGTCAATACAAGTAAATTTTGAAGCAAAATTGAAAAGGTAGAGGTAGGAAATCTAGTGAGATCGGGGTTTTATCAAATCAAATCATGAATCTAATTCACTTTTTAATTTTTTAATTCGTATTCGCAGCACACTTGACTACTCTCCCAACTCCTTAACAAGATTTAAGTCTCAACTCTAATTTTGAAAATATCATCCCCTGCTTCATTCATAAACGATAAACCACATTCCGCCACATAGTGAAGACGACCGTGTCGACATTATGTTAATGTTCATGACGTTATGACTTATGATGCAAGTTATATTATTTACTTGGATTTGTGGTATCAAGATCACGCATGTGTAGGAGAAAGTACAAAGATGAAACAAAGGTTCCCAAAACCAACACTCGACACCTCATGCAAAGCCTTACCTTTTTTCTATGTAATGTAACTATAGTCGTGGTCGTTAGTTTGTAACTCTCACTAGACCTTCATAAGAGTAGAATAAGTTAACATAGTTTGGTTCAAAAAATGTCATCAAACACCCTCATTCAAAATTTGTTAGAAGAGATGTGAACAGTGTAATTAATTGTTGTCCAAAGAAGTCAAATGTGCTTCCATACATATATATATCAACACAATTACACAAGCATTTCGAGCAAAAAACAATAAGATAACCAATTTTAAAATTATTTGGTTGATGGATCTTCACATAAGCATTAATGCTTTGCAAATCGCAATTTTGAAATACAATAACTCAACTAAGGTCTAAGTGCATGTGTTAAAATTATAAAAAATTAATAATCGCATATGTAGAGGAGGCTAAACATGTGATTAACTTACTGGTCTGGTATGTTCATTTAAAGTTTAAACCATTCTCTTATGCGACGGTGACCACGTTACACTCTTTGTGTAATGTAGTTAAACACTATAAACTTAAGGATTTGAATCAAAATTCGTACCATAATAACAATATTTCAGCTATATCTACCGTCTGTTTGTGTAAGTTAGGTAGACCGATCGTTAGAATTTGAGAAATTTGAGCTCTTGCTTTGATATAATTAGTTGGAAACAATTGACTTTGCCGCTTTTGACACCTATCTTTTTCCAAAACTAAATTTCAGGGACAATCTAAAAGAGCCCATGAACCAACTGAGGAAAAGTTTTAAACCCAACAATCAATCTTTCTTTACCAATTAAATCAACTAATTACCGCTACACGTGAACACGCTAAACCAGTAATTTACTGCTAGCTAATTATGCAAAATTAGCCGCTAATTGGTCAGTGCCATCTGATTACAGCCATTTCCTGATTCGAATGATCTCATATGCGTTAAGAAACCCCTCAAATTAATGAGACCAGGGGGGCCATAACTTATATAAATAACGAACCGGCCGGTGACCCACGCCCTGACCAACCAACCGGTGGCCATAACTTAACAAAAGAACGTAAAAACAGAAATGGTGGGGAAATGGATATGAATCCTTAAACGTATGTACTTATCTGTGTAAGTATATCTGTAAGAAAGCAAACCGACTTTGGTACTCGATCAGCCCCACTTGGTAGAAAAAACAAAGGCAAATTTAATGACGAACTCGTAACCGCAGATGACATTATCATCGTCCATGCAATGTAATTTTGGTGCAGCGATCGACCAATTGAACATCTTAACATCACGTCCTTATTAATTTAAATTGCGCGAATTAGACAGATTTGATGCAGTTTCTATAGTGATATTGTTAGGGTATATTGCGATTTCGTCGTAGTTTTACATATTTGGACTTTGATTGATACGGTTTCGTCGATCAGTACCGATAAGAACATGAAAATTATATAGTAAGTATTTTTTCTCTTTTTCATTACGATCTATGATCATAACAAGATATAGAAGATCTTATCTTTGTTACAAATAAATTCGATGGGTTCAATTTACAATTCATCTAAACATGTTGTATATGTTTTGCATTGGAGAAGAACCCATATCTTATTGAATTATGTTGATTTGTAAAACAATCCTTATGTGCTAACATTAGATTTTATTTTGTTGTGTGGATTGTTAACCAGGTTGTTCATATAATGGTGCAGTACTTTCTCTCGTTAATTATTCCCTTGTTTCGTTTATTCTTATTTGACTCTCGAGTTTGACTCAATTATTGTAATTGATTTGTTAACGAGATAGAAAATCAATAAGAATTTTGCAAAAATTAGCAACCATTACTATCATAGATAGGATGAATTTTTTTTTACAATTAGATTGTAGGATGAAGTTTTGGGAAGCATAATTTAAATTGAAACAAAATATTTATTGAAAAACTCCATCAATATACCGTAACCAGAACCTATCTCTGTACGTGGTGCGCTATACACGAACACATTTAATTAGTCACCACCTTTCAATCTCGTCTCATAAACTATACTCCCCCAAGGTAAAAACTGAAACTCTAAATATTTAATTCCGCTTATTAATTTAAAAAAAAAAAAAAAAAGAATCGTCACGTGGCCGGTCAATCAATGGAGCTTGACCCAAACCCCTGTACTCGGAATTTCCCGATGAACCACGAACACCATATAATACCCCGCCGGCGCCAAATTTCCCGACCCCGGCGCCCTCACCGTCACCTCGTAACTCCCCGCCGCCGCCGCCACGCTCCTCAACCCCTCGCTCCCCAGCACCAGCAGCCTCTGATTCATCCCAAAAGAGTGCGTCGTGAACGGCGGCGCCAACATCGTCACCGCCACGTCATCTCCCTTCACCTCCCCGGCCCCCGCCGACACCGTGAACCGAATCACAAACTTCTCCCCGTACCCCACCCCGACCCCACCCGCCGGCGACACGATCGCCGGCCTCACCCCATCAAACCTCCCGTCCAGGTACGCCGGCGAGAATGCCTCGAGACTCAGATCCGTCGGAAACATCACCCCGGTGAAATTGTAGTACACGTGCGGGTTGCTCCCGCCGACGAGCACCCTCCCGTCGCGGAGCAGGATCGCGGCGGAGTGGTACATCCTCGGCACGTCGGTCGGGTTCTGGACCTCGAACCTCGACCCGGCCGGGTTCCCGGGTCGGTACAGAACCGGGTTGAGCACCGGATCCCGCCCGTTCTCCCACCCGGCCGTACCCGACCCGGCCCCGTTCACAATCAGGACATTCCCATCGGGAAGCATCACCATGTCCCCCATCACTCTCTCCCTCGGCATCGACTCCATCGCCCAGACCGGGTTCGGGTCGTTAATCCCGATCCGACCGCAATTACCCAACCCCTTCACAAATTCCCCCACCCCGGCCTTCTCAAACGAGCCTCTCGGCGCGCCGCCGCAGACCAAAACCTCCGCGGCCACGTCATCACCACCCGGGTGCAGGGTAAGGTCCAGTGGGAGCAAAGCAGCGGATCCGGTGCTCGGGTAGCTCCTGGGGTCCCCACCGGGGATCTCGGGGTAATTTCTCACCACGGCCCTGCTGCTGTAATTGTAGAGGATCGCGCGGTTATTGGCGAAGATGAATAAATTACCGTCGACGTTTAGGAGCACAAAGGGGTAGAGATTGTTCTCGGATTTCCCGTCGCTGGTCTGGATGAGAAACGGGAGGCTGTAAAGTTGTGCGGCGTCGTTTTTGGGGTAGAACTCGTAGTTGAATTGGCGGCGTCCCCCGACGATTATCTGCCTGCCATCTGGCAGGAGCTGATTGGTCGAGTACCACCTCCTCGCCGCCAGCCCGTTCTCGTGCTCCACCCAGTCGCACCCGCTGGCGTTTTTGCAGGGGGAGAAGGAGCGGACGCGGCGGTCGCCGTCGTTGAAGCCGCCGGTTTGGACGAGGCTGCCGTCGGGCATGGCGGAGCCGGAGGAGCACCAGACGTCGGTCTGGACGGTGAGGGGGCGGAAGGTGTTGGCGGCGGGGTCGTACTCGACGGAGTGGGCGGAGCAGTCGCGCGTGACGACGCGCTCGTTGGGGTCCTCGCGGCAGTTGCCGTTGGCGAGGGAGATGTTGGAGCGGCCGAAGTCGGTGCGGTCGAAGATGACGACGCGGTCGTTGGAGAGGAGCTGCATGTGCATTGCGGAGATGCCGATGCTGCGCTGGAGTAGCTGCCAGCTGCCGCCGCCGCAGTCTGCGACGACGGCGGCAGCGGAAGCTAGGAAGAGGAGGAGGAGAGGAAGGGTGCACGGTTGATGGAGAGACATGGGAATGTTATGGTTGTAATGTGTTATAATTAAAATGAGAGAATATATATATATATGGTTGTGAGGAGGAAGGATTGTTGTTGTTGCTTGTTAAATAGGGGTGTCCAAATTGTGCAGAGAATTTATTCCGTTATTGAGGGGGGTATATAAAAAGAGTATAAAACTTGCTCACCTTAATTTGGAAAGCGTGAGGAGAAGGGATTTCAATGGTTAAAATGGGAATGGAAATGGACCAATAGTGCATGTGGTGTAATTAATAGGAATATTGTAAGATATTTGGATTTGAAAAAAAAATGTATGGTATAAACTGAAGTTGTACATTTAACGTTATTATATAAATTCAACTGAGACACCAACATTGCAGAGCATAGTATTTCATTTGGTAATGGCTAGATATAGATTAGTAAAATTCAAGATTTAGATTGGATGGAGGTTAATAATAAGAAACTATGATATCTTCTTAGTATTGAATCGAGATCATGGAGGAAGGAGGGTTGGCGATATAGCTCTCATCCCGCTATTTTTCAATGTTTTGTATCAACATATGAATACGCGTTAACACAATAATCTAATATCATATATCAATGATGGATGTAGCCTCTCCTGAACTACATGTACTCTGCCACTACTTTAGATTGATCCGTTTTATTTTGTGATGTAAAGAAAAGAAACACAGCGTTTTGATTTTGTCCACGAGAATACAAAATTAACGCACTTTTGAAACAAAAGGGAGGATAAGCTAACTAATTAATCGTGTCGTACTAATTATACGTAAGTGGAGACTTGCCCCGATAATCGAAATGCGAGGTAAAAATGATGTGAAGTTGTAAACGGTGCTGGATTGTAGTAGTAAGCGTGTCTCTTATCATCAGTGTAACACTAATAAATATGATGGATATATCGAATATAGCATATCAAGTCAAAATTCTCATTTCCCTTATATGATAAATATTTTTCTCTTTTTCGCGAATACATTCTCATCCTCTCAAACTCTTTATATTTTCTCGGGAGAAAGAAATTATTAGTTAAATACGAAACAAAAATACCAAATCATATACATGATCAAAAGACACTCTTGACTTTTGGAAACCATGTGCCTAAAGAATCGCAGATGACCTTTGGGATTATATGGAATACGTATGGTACTCCCTTTTTGGTTTCATGGAGATGGAAGGGTGTAATGTGGGTTGAACTTTGATGACACTAGCTAGCTGGTCAGTACACCAACCATTATTTATTACCACCTGTTATAAACGCGCTGCTACGGATCGGGAAATCGCCGGAATCGACAAAGCAAGAATACGAGAGCGAGAATCGAAAGACACAGACACACGATTTACGTGGTTCACTAACACGATGTGTGTTAGCTAGTCCACGGGCGAGAGAGAGCCAGTTTCACTATACTGAGGAGATTACAGATTACAGAGGAGTATGAGAAGTATTTATAGTACTTCTCCATGTGGGTCTAAACCTAATCCAATCTAGCAAAGGAAACGGTTACAGACCAGGCCCAGAACCCGAACCCAAATAACATTGAGCCCATACACCGTGGGCCGGGGGCGTTGCCCCCGCACCCCCACCGGGGCGTTGCCCCTGGACCCCACTCGCTGACCGGGCAGCGAGACCCCCGGTTACCAGTCGTAGCGGCTGATAATCCGATTCAAGTCATATCAACAAATCTCCACCTTGACTTGAATCCTCTTCCTCTGAAATCTCTGATGTACTCTGCTCCTTCTCTCTCTCTCGCCATCAATGCCCCGTAGGGCGGAGTCACCCACTCAAGACATTCAGCAAGTCCAAGCAGTGTTGGAACTTGCCATGTGGAACCGGCTTCGTGAACATATCAGCAGGATTATCCGCGGTGCCAACCTTCTTCACCTTAATCCTCTTCTCTGTCCTCAAGAAATGATACCTCACATCGATGTGCTTAGTCCTCTCATGGTGGACTTGATCCTTGGCCAAGCATATTGCACTCAAACTGTCGCAATACACCACTGCCTGATCATGATGTAGACCAAGATCACCAACCAGTCCCTTCAACCATATTCCCTCCTTGGCAGCTTCTGTCAACGCCATATACTCTGCCTCAGTAGTAGACAATGTCACCGCCGACTGCAAAGTTGCCTTCCAGCTCACTACAGAACTCCCAAGAGTGAATACATAACCGGTCATCGATCTCCTCGTGTCAACATCTCCAGCATAGTCCGAGTCAGAATACCCAGACACCAAGCACTCTGTATCACTTCCGAAGCTAATCCCCACATCAGGTGTACCCTTAAGGTACCGGAAGATCCTCTTCACAGCCTGCCAATGCTCCTTCCCAGGTTGTATCATAAACCTGCTAACAACACTAACAGCATGTGCAAGATCAGGTCTAGTGCATACCATAGCGTACATCAAGCTACCTACTGCACTAGCATATGGGACTCTCGACATGTACTCCTTCTCAGCCTCTGACTGCGGTGCATAAGCTGAGGATAGATGAACATTTGAAGCACTAGGAATATTTAAGGGCTTTGCTGAAGACATGCCAAACCTCGACAGTATCTTCTGGATGTAGCTCTTCTGTGACAAGAAAAGCTTCTTCTTCGACCTGTCCCTGTAAATCTCCATACCCAAAATCTTCTGAGCAGCTCCCAAATCCTTCATCTCAAACTCAGCACTGAGAAGCCCCTTTAACTTCTGGATATCAGACTTTGACCTCGCAGCTATGAGCATATCATCCACATACAGAACTAGATATATCATCGAACCATCCTCTGCCTTGCTGTGATATACACAACAATCATATGGACTTCTGTTGTAGCCCAGCTCAAGCATGTAACTGTCAAATCTCTTGTACCACTGCCTCGGAGATTGCTTAAGTCCATACAAGGACTTCTTCAGCTTACAAACATAGTCTTCTTTTCCCGGAACCTCGAATCCTTCTGGCTGAGTCATGTAAATTTCTTCCTCCAACTCTCCATGTAGGAAAGCTGTCTTCACGTCTAGCTGCTCAAGCTCCAAGTCATAATGTGCCACTATTGCTAGTAGCACTCTGATCGAAGTATGTCTGACCACTGGTGAGAAAATCTCATTGTAGTCAACTCCTTCCCTCTGCGAGAAGCCTCGTGCAACCACCCGAGCTTTAAATTTCATGCCCTCTTTAGAAGTGATTCCTTCCTTCTTCTTGTAGATCCACTTGTTTGTCACAATCTTCCTTCCCTGTGGTCGTTTGACTAGCTCCCAAGTCTGATTCCTGTCATGGGATTCCATCTCATCTCCCATTGCGGCAAGCCACTGATCAGCTTCACCGCCCGAAACTGCTTCTCTATAGGACTGTGGCTCTCCTGCATCCACTTCTTCAGCAACCTGAAATGAATACGCCACCATGTCCTCGAAGCCATACCTCTGTGGAGGTACTCCTGCAGTCGCTCTCTTCGGTCTACCGGAAGCAATAGACTGTTGAGCTCGTGCACTGGACTCTGAAGTTTCTGGCTCTACAGAGACATCCTCATCATGTTGATCTTCTCCACCTTGGTGCTCAAACTCACTCTCATTGAGAGTTTGCAGCTCCACCTGCTTATCAACATTCCTGCTACCTTCAACAACAGTGACCTTCAACATGGGGTTAAACATAGACTTCTCATCAAATATCACATTTCTACTAAGTATAACTCGATGCTCAGAAGGTGACCAGACTCGAAATCCCTTAACTCCATCTCCGTAACCCACAAATACACCCTTCTTTGCCCTTGGGTTCAGTTTACCCTCATCCACATGATAATAAACAGGACACCCAAAAACTTTCAGTGAAGAGTAATCAGCAGGCTTACCATACCACACTTCATAAGGAGTCTTACACTCGATACCTGTGTGAGGTCCACGGTTGATCAGGAAGCACGCCATGTTTACTGCTTCTGCCCAGAATCTTCTCTCTAGTCCAGCATTAGAGAGCATGCACCGTGCTCTCTCCAACAATGTCTGGTTCATCCGTTCTGCAACACCATTCTGCTGAGGTGTATCTCTAACAGTCCGATGACGGGCAATCCCTTCATCCTTGCAGAATTCGTTGAACTCAGAACTGCAGAACTCCAGACCATTGTCCGTTCGCAGCTTCTTGATCTTCTTCCCGGTCTGATTCTCCACCAATGTCTTCCACTGCTTGAACTTCGTGAAAGCCTCACTTTTCTGCTTCATCATGAAAATCCAAGTAAATCTCGAATAATCATCAATAATAGACAGAAAATACCTGCTGCCTCCAATGGATTCAACTCGTGAAGGACCCCAACAGTCGGAGTGGAGGTAATCCAGTATCCCCTTCGTCCGGTGGATACCCTTCTTGGGAAACTTGCTGCGATGTAGCTTCCCAAACACACAATGCTCACAGAATTCCAAATTCTGCACCTTGTGCCCGCAAAGAAGATCCCTCTTTGATAGAACTTGCATCCCTCGTTCACTCATATGCCCCAGTCTCATGTGCCAGAGAGTGGTCATATCCTCCTGTTGAACCTGAGACGATGCAACTGCAGCAGAACCAGACAACACAGACCCTTGTAATGCATACAAGGTCCCACGCTTCACGCCCTTCAGTACCTTCCTCGAACCCTTGCAGACATACACAACTCCACCTTTTCCTTTGAAACTGAAACCCTTGCTGTCGAGTAGACTCAAGGAGATCAGGTTCTTCGTCATTCGTGGAACATGTCTGACATCATTCACGGTACAGAACGAACCATCATGTGTCCGAACCTTTATGGACCCGATTCCAACAACCTTGCAGACAGCTCCATTTGCCATGACCACGTTACCACCATCTATCTGCTCGTAGGTTGTGAAGCAATCCCTGTTCGGAGACATATGATATGAGGCTGCAGTATCCAGAAACCACACATCACCACGATGTGCCTTCTCATCTACAGCCAAGGCGAGATCGTCTTCAGAACTGTTGTCCACTTCTGCCACGGCAACTGAACCTTGTTTCTTCTGTTGCCCTCTTCTCTTGGGACAGTTGTACTTCCAATGCCCCACTTCCTTACAGTTGTGACAAGCATCACCTGGCTGTGGACCGGGACCCTTGGAATTCTTGCTCGAATTCCCTTTACCAGATTTCTTCTTTCCCTTTCCACCTGTAACAGCCAAACCCGATGCCTCACCACCTGTACCAGATCCGGACGCCTTATGCCTGATCTCTCTCGTATGAAGAGCAGACCTGACATCCTCCAACGACACGCTTTCTTTACCAGCAATAAAAGAATCAACAAAATTCTCATATGAACTCGGCAAAGAAACCAGCAGGATTAGGGCAGCATCCTCGTCATCAACTTGAACATCTATATTACGTAGATCCAGCAAAATAGAGTTAAGTTGTTCGAGATGTTCCCTCAAAGGCGTACCTTCTTGCATCCTCAAGCTGAACAAACGTTGCTTGAGATGCAGCTTGTTGGTTAGAGACTTAGTCATGTACAGACTCTCTAGTTTCAACCACAAGCCCGCGGCAGTCTTCTCAGCAGCGACTTCGATGATGACGTCATCAGACAACGATAGCATGATGGTCGAGTGGGCCTTCTCCTCCAGGGTATTCCACTCATCGTCATCGACCGCTGCCTTCTTCTGTTTCGCAGACAGCGGCCCCCACAGCCCTTGCTGTTTTAGTAAAGCCTGCATCTTGATCTGCCATATAGCGAAGCTGTTCTTCCCCGTGAACTTTTCGATCTTCATGTTCACCGACGTCATTCTTCTGAATCGAAAACCCTAGCCTGATTTCCAACCAGGCTCTGATACCACTTGTTATAAACGCGCTGCTACGGATCGGGAAATCGCCGGAATCGACAAAGCAAGAATACGAGAGCGAGAATCGAAAGACACAGACACACGATTTACGTGGTTCACTAACACGATGTGTGTTAGCTAGTCCACGGGCGAGAGAGAGCCAGTTTCACTATACTGAGGAGATTACAGATTACAGAGGAGTATGAGAAGTATTTATAGTACTTCTCCATGTGGGTCTAAACCTAATCCAATCTAGCAAAGGAAACGGTTACAGACCAGTACCAGTCGTAGCGGCTGATAATCCGATTCAAGTCATATCAACACCACCTTTTTTTCTTTTTTACCTTGCAGGAAGTAAAACGTACCATGGTAATAATGAATAATGTGAACGTAAGCGCGTCGCCAATGAACATATCGGGCAGGCCAGCCAACTTGTTGCCGGTAAAAATTAAAACCTTTAGCAGAAATGGAGTTATGGCTAAAGCTGGATATATATATCGGCAGCTGCCAACCAGCTGTTAGCTGCGTCGTAGTATTAATGAAGATGGCGGGAGCCCGATGAGATAATGGAAAGAAGTAGCACGTATTCTGTCAGAAATCTAAGCAATTTTAACATTGATTGATTTGTAAAACAATTTGAATCGGGATACTACTATCTGACCAGAGGGTATTACTTGATTTGCAATAGCATGTGTATTATATATTTTCGACTTGCTTCATCTATCATTATCCCATTCTTGACTTGTCTGTATCTTGAACGTAAGCATGATACTTTTTGGTAGTACCGGTGAACCAGATGGCCGCGGCGAAGGAATCTGGGACGGAGGACTCATAGTATCTCTCTAGATCTGGCAAAAGCGAAAGACCCCCTAACGTAATTCGAATGGGGTCTGACCGCTGAGCCCACTCTGGCCTCGCAGGGCGGGCCCCTTTGGTTGCGAGCTGGAGCTGCCATAGCTTATGGCCAGAGCAAGAGGGGGCCCCAGCAGAAAGAACAGTAAGGATAACGAGCGCGGAGCCTGGCAAGCGGGCCCCCTCGCGTGGCGACATGAGGACGTAAAAAGGAAAGAGAGAGATGGGGTTTCTCTCGCTTTTGGCATAGCGGGCCCCCGGCGGGGGGCCCGCACGACGGGCTATTAGCTCAGTGGTAGAGCGCGCGCAAAAATACATAAAAAGGAATCCCGGCCTTTTTTAATGATCTAATCATAAGCTTATTGGAAAAGAAAAAAACAGTGATAAAGACAAGTTCCAATACAGTATCAAAACCAAAGATCGAAAATTCTAGCAAATTCTTTCTAGTTTGTTTTTTTCTTCGGCGGAAACCCTTAAATTTAATATTCCAATATCTTCTTATCATCCCCCCCCCCAAAAAGCTTCGCCTCTTTTTTTTTTTTGAAAAAAAAAAGAAGGGCGAGGTACCCTGAAATAAATAATTGTTCCACTCAAAATATATTTGTATATCTACTATTTTGGTTTATCTTCAATCATATTTTTCACATATGAAGCTTTGAACATGGGCAAGACTTGATTTTTTAACTAATTAAACTCAATTAATCATTTTTTATCTCTATTTTTCATTGATAAATTGTTTTCCTTCATTTTATCACAAACTTTTTAATTTTTGCGTTTATTTTCTGCGATTAACAAGGATGAGTCGACCTTCCCGACTCGTATCCGCTCGGGTACTACCCAACTAGACTCTCTCTTTGTGCTGAGTGGGTATGAGTATTGATATACTCGTTCCGCCCAATTGCCACCATTAAAGGTAGGTAGATTGATATTTGCGTAGATCCAACCAAAGTATTAGATTAGAAAGAAAGTATAAGCTTTTAATAATTTTCCAAGTTTGAACAGACGGACAAAATATTCCCTAACCCGGAAAATACATTCAAGATAATGAGGTGGAAATTTCAATTTATTTTTATTTTTAAATGTCACGTCATACATGTAACGATCAATTATGTGAATTGACTGCCACATTAGACAAAGTTAACGAAGTTGGACTAGTAACTACGAATGAAATTAAATATTTTTAGTGAATAAATATGAATTTTTTTTAATAATCTCACTAACCAATATTGTCATTTCCCCACTATATATATATACATTCATGCATTTTTGGGCTTGTATTAATGAGGGTGAAAGGAATAGTGTCAGAACTAGTAGCAACCAAAAGTCTGCAAAATATGGCAAGACCGTGGCGGGATTAAATAGTGGTGCTGTCGGGGCAAGATGCGGTAATGGGACGAGGAGAGTGGGGCCCACGCGCCTTTCCGGGAGACGGAAAAACGTTCAAAAGCAGTTTGTTTGCCGCGTTGGCGTTGGGCCTAGGTGGACGGGCCTTTTATGTGGGCCAAGGCCCACTTCTTTTCTTCTTCTCCTGCCTGTTTAAACTTTTTGGCAACACGTGCAGGAAAAGCTACGGGGTGATGATGGGGATCCAAACTAACGGAAATGACTTCATTAACTACTTACAGCGTTGCGAAAGCATCCTATATTCTGGTATTCGTTCGCTTTACACGTCCCTCACCGGCCGGCTTTCCCTTTTTCTCCTCCTTCTTCAATGTGCTGTCGCAATAGTGAATTATCGACGGCCTTGGATCATAATTAGGGACAAACCGATTGCATACCACCACTTACGGGTGTGCAAATGTCAATTCGGTCCATTTTTTATCAGTATTTATAAAATTCATGAGATCAAGAAACGAACCATATAATATTTGGTTTGATTCACATCAATCAAATGTTAATTTAGTTCGGTACAATCCGGTACGAACCAACCCGTTGCATACCCCTACTGACCACTTATTAAACACCCGAATAAGTGATATTCACTAATGAGAGGTGACTATACTTTGATCCCACTGCCACTCACATGTGTGTTATATAACATGTTTCGATTTAGTTTTTTGAGAGAACTATTTGATCCGTAATAGTAATGACTGTCCTTTGCTTTATGGATTTGGAAAATGAAGATTTTGGTGAAACTTGGGTTTGTAAAACCATGCATATGTGAAGGTTTTGGGTTCATTATGGACTTGTAAAATACCATTGTTTGTTTAATTGATTTCATGATGAATTTGGTTAGTTAGATTTGTGTGCATGAAGTGAAAATGACCTACATTACCCTCATTGATATGATATGAAAAGACAAAAGAAGGGTAAGTCCATGACCATGATCAAGTCTCACCTCAAGACTCAAGAGGTGAAATTTTCAAGTCCGTGGGACCCATAGTTTTGGACCCTTAAAATCTATGGGGGGCATGGATTTGTTGGCATAAAATACATTAAGCAAACAATGAACTTTTGACAAAGTCCATGATAGATCTAAATTCATTACCAGTATCGCATTAATATATAATGGATTATAATGTGGTTTGATATGTCATTTTGTTCTATCAATGCGATACTGCCTCATATACTTTATCATCACGATGGGAATGAGATTTGGATAAATTGGTCACACACACTTATTTTCTTTGTTTGTCAAATAGTTATAAACTTGTAATACATTACGAAATGTGTAAGATAAAAGATATATAAAATTCATCATAATGAAGCATTTTCAATAAATCGAGCTATTGCGAGTAAATGATTTGTTACATGGTATTCAAATATTTGATCGAGAGTTCTCGGATTTGAATCGGTTTTATGGCAACCCGTAAGCATGCTTTCGTTGGGGGGGGAGTGTAATAGAAAATGAATGATATATGAAATTCAAAATCAAATGAATAACTCGAGTTATTGAAATTGAATGATTTGTTTGTTAAAAAAATGCATGAGTCAGCCTAATCCTACTAAAATCCCCTTACAAATATCAGATATCTTAATCAACACGAGACGATATGAGGTACACACACCTAGAGGCTAGAGTTGTCTGTTTGGTTTGGTTAACCAAACCATTAGCTGTGAAACACCAAAAATCAAAATTAGGCAAATTTTTTAAAAACCAAAACGAAAACCATTAAGAAGCTTATCGATAGGGATCGGCATCATACTCATACATGCATAAACACTGTGTCATGATCTGTATCGATCTGTGAAAAGGATCTAAGTCGTCTAGCTAATTATGACACGACCTGAATTAGTTCGTTGCATCTTAATTAGTCCTTGTCAACTTAATCTTTCGCTAAAGGGGCCGGAATCACATACAACCCTACTATGACGATGTTTACATGTGAAGTATAACAAGAAATTGTTACCAATAATTCGAATTGTTGGGAGAAGGTTAATTATGATTCTTATATCGTTATTTTATTTCTTATACGCCCTTCAAACGAAAACAAACTCATAAGTTTGAAAATTGCATAGACCTATCATACATTGTGCTTAGATCGATAACTAATATATTGGAGATCGCAGAGAGATTGAGACACAACACTGCTTGATTATGCCAATTCTGATAGACTGATACCGTGTCAGACATCAATTAATTCCAATAACTTAATGAAGCTTGCCATTACCAATACCACGTAATTTCCAAAATATTGGCATTGAGCCAACGATTATGGTTACAAAATGTCGGCTTATAATAATCCATTGTTTTAGTATCAATCATGAGATATGGGAAAATCACATGGCTAGCTAGCATAGCTACGACCTACAAGTCCCTTTTCCTTGATTCGGTTCGTTGTTATCCGTGATCGCCGGTCGACCCATATCGGGGAAGCATTAACGACCGTCGTTAAATGTTCTGGTCGCTAAAGAGTAGCCAAACTTTACGTTTGAACCAAACGGTAATTACGCATGGATGCATTGAGTTGGATACTGTACGTACGCAGAGTTTGTACTATATAATGCAACATCCGGTCACATATGATCAGCATTCCAATTAAATCCATAATGGTCACTATATATATGACTCCTTAATGTTGTGCTTTATCGCCGTAATTAAAAAGCTAATTATTGCTAAACAATAAATAAATGGAAGGCTGGTAGTAATTAGGTTCGCCGTGTTCCTTTCGGGTTCCAAAAAAGACGATAACTGTTAACGTACGTCCGTTCATCTATCTAACCTAGCTAGCATTGTATGTATCTGCTGGCAAAACGGATCCAGACTGTGGGCTGTGGCCAGCGAGATTCCTTAGCTTGTTAGCAGTCGGGAAATCAGACGATGTTGTGGCTGGGATTAGATAGATTGGGCCGATGTTGCTATTGATCATATGCATGTTCTTAGGTATCTCATCCTCTATGGTTTTGTTTACACCTAAAATTAATTTGAATTAATTAAATACCGTATTAATGAGTCTCGACATTTAGTTCGATGCCGCATGATTCAAAACGGTGTCGTTTGGAATCGAGCAATGTCGCGGATAGTGTAAACGACACCGCAAGGAAGCTCGCCGACATCGCGGTACTTGAAACGACATTGTTTACTAGAAAACAATTGTTGTGAGACATGGGCCGCAAGATTGGTGTTGTGTTGGGAAAGGAGTGTGTTTTTATTCCTTATCGGAGAAGGAGAGTGAAACGACACCGCGTAGAGACAAGCGGCGTCGCAGATGAGTAAAACGATACCGCGAAACAGAAAAACAGTACCGCAAGGAAGCTCAGCGGTACCGTGGCACTGGAAACGACACTGTTTACCGGAAAATAAGAGGTGGGCCGCGCGCGTAGTATTGGAGTTGGAAAAGGAGTTATTATTATTTTTTTTACTCCTTGTCGGAAGGGGAGAAGCGGTACCGCGTGGAGACAAGCGGCATCGCGAAGAATTAAAACGGTACCGCGGAAGTAAAAACGATGCCGCAGGAGGCCTTGATAAGCGGTGCCGATTAAATAAATAAAAAAAACCATATATGGTAGGATTTTTGGTGAGGGCCGCGCGCCAAGCCCAACGGCACCGCAAGACGAGAAAACGGTACCGTTTGGTAGAGAACAATGTAGCGGAATGAAAAAAGACATTGTTTGATGGGACCAGGACGGAGCAGCTCAAGGTCGGCATCGATCAGTGAAAAGCGATGCCGCGAAACGATTAAACGGCGCCAAGGGATGAGAATTTGACCGCGTGGCAATAATGAGCCGGTTTAATTAATTAATCTGTTTAATGATTA